GGACGCGATTGCCTTGGTTACAGCCGCATATTTAGGTCGGCTTTTGTCCCGCGCCGAGGAGGAAATACCGTCCTTTGTGCAAGTGATAGCGATCACTGTCATGGTCTGACACCTGTAGTTCTTTGAGAATGCTGTGGAGAACGACGCACAAATTCTGGTGGATGCTAAAGGGTGGCAGTACGCATCTTGTATATAGCGCGTACGACAGGCACGAGCAATAACATCATACCCGGCTCTTGTCAAGGATATAGTTAGCTACGCAACAGCTGAACTTGTGGAAATCCCGGGTGTCAATTTTTTCCCATTACTGACGGCAGCCGCAGGTAGCAAATTTGTGAAACGTTGGTGTGGAAACCCTGCCGGAACGAACATCCTTCCGTGGCAAATGTTGAAATTATAGCACCTTAAAAGAAAGCAGTTGTTGTCACTCTCACCGCACAGACATTATCCAACCATAACTGCACGATACCGCAGAGATAGCACAATGGAGACAACTGTTTTTGTCAGGAAAGTTGCTCTGACTAATCTCATGGAAAGAAGCGAATCCGTTTCGCAAGAACAGCGAAATGACTGCAAATGAGCGTTGCCCTTTTGTCTTGAAGAAATCACACGACAAAGGCAGTTGCCTCTTCCTGCTCCCTGGATTACGCAATAGCCAGGACCAATGAAGAATGCGGCTGCACGGTTGCATTTTGCCAAGCACGCGGGTCGGTTTTTAAGCCCTCGAGGCGACAACTATCCGTCAGTAGGCTGAAGTGGAGGACAAGAGGTTAGAAAGCAGGAGCTCCCCAGGTCGACAGGGGCATCAAGACTTTTAATGCGTTTCGTCCTACATAACGCCCCCAGTTCTTTTACTTTTTCCGCGTAACCACCGCCGAGGGCAACACGGCCTCAGATTCCCAGGGTAGTTTCTCTGTGTAAACCACTGGCGGAGGGCAAACACGGACTCAAATTTCCTGGGTGTTTTTTTCCGTGCAACCACCGACAGAGGGTAATACGGCCTCAAATTTCCAGGGGATGTTTGCGGATAAGAGATGGAATCAATGGATAGTGTTAATAACGCCTTCTTTAATGGTTTTTGAAAGCCAAATTTTTTTGCATATCCATTTTGACATGACTGTGATCTGACTACTTTTGACATAACTATGACTACTTTTGGCGTGATTTTGACATGACTACGACCTAAGTGGTAACACTTTAAGTGCATCCTGACTGACCAAAGTTGTCGAGCTCTGATTTTGTTGTGACCTTTGACCTGATCGTGACCTGACCGACCTTTTCACCTCTGTGTGACCTGACTACGATTTAATCTTGTCTCTGAAGAAAAAAAGCTCTGAATACCGTTTCTCATCTGAGTGATATAAACAAAAACGCGTTAGGCTTACCACACGATAGCCCATGCTCGGAGCTTCCCTCAGATCATTCAGCACAAAAAAATTTCGTACCAATTTGTCTTCGTGGCGTCACCAGATCGTCCACCCATCATCATTACTTCACGGTCGCTATCTGCTCATTCGTCATAAGCGCACCAACTCACCAAACCCTCCCCCCCCCCCCACCCCCCACACACACACAAACAGACACACATGTTACGCACTCACATGTTATCAACAATACCTGTCAAAAACCGCTGCACCTTATGCAGTACACCGTGATCCAACCTTGGTCACTTCGAAAGGAGTGGGCCCGCAATGCTCAAAACGTACGCGTTTTACAAAACTCCTCCCATACGTGGTCTCCTGCGAGGGCAAGTGCATGGGGAAATAAAGCAATAAAGGGACAGATGCTGCGAACGAAATGCAAATGCACTCCCAGTGCGTTTGACCGCAGCTGGGATGAGCGTAGGTTGCGCTGTGTGTCTCAGCGTGAGGTGTCACAACATGGGAACTGTGGCACCGAACAGGAAGGCCGTGTTCCATGTGCTCGAGCTACACGTGTTGGTTGCCCAATCAGTGGAGCATCTGGAGCGCGCAGCAGAGTCATCAATCATGATATGTATGTATATACATATATATTACAAAGATGGGTCTGCATGAAGAAAAATAGACAGCTCGGTTATCAGATATTTTCGTAGGAGCTACGAGCTTTGATGACAGAGCTAGTTCTCGATTTACATGGATTTACTGACATGCTTGATTTACTTTTGATGCGTTGTGCTTGTGGAGTGGTTCCAAACACCATGGTGAAAGCGAAATTTCTTAGGGAGCCAGACGCAACATAAAAATAGCAAGTCGACTACTAGGTAGTTTTTTCAGTTTTAAAGGGCGCGTCAAGTGCATTGGTTTTTTGTGCCGTGTATTTAATGAGAAGCAAGTTTATGATAAGAAACGAGACTCCTTATACAAATGTCTTGGTCCGTGTCCTTAGTTCAACAAAATTCTGGAAGGAACAAGGCCTGGCAATGAGCCGTGAAAATCGCAGGAGGGATTGTTGCTTACATCTGCTATAGGGATTATTGCTTACATCGGTGCTATGTGGAGCAGGGCGAGTTTTGATCATCATTTAATTTAAGGACCATTTATCGCGGATCATGTATAGGTATATTAGCTCTGCAGGTAACGCATACCTATGCATGAATACACGGTCAGGATGTAGAAGATTTTTTCACGTCAGACATGCCACCGAACGCCAAATATTTCTAGCCGAACACCGCTGATAAAATCTGCTCCGATAGAAAAAAGCATGAAACTTTTTCAAAGATTTCAATTTTCGCACCAAATTTTTTTGTGAAAGTGGCTAGTGATGAAATGTGTACGCATCAAATTCGTGTTGAAGTGGAATAGCCACCGCGACCCTCGTCAACATCTCTGAGTGCGAAATTAAGGCCCCTGAATGTTAAACAATCATCTCCGGATGTCACACACAAACACCATTGAGTGTCTATCATACGCCCGCAAGTGTCACCTAAGCACCCTTGAGTGCCAAACCCCTGGCACCAAACCTTCCGGCTGCCTCGAATCAGCCAGTGGTTAGAGACGCCCACTGAGTGCGGGAGGCAGAACCGAGAAAATGTTCTGCGGAGGCGCGGTTTGGGTCTACACGCGACACTTTCGTTTTCATGAGAAACCGACCGAGCCATCTGGCGTCGCTACCATTGTCCGGTGCAGCGGGATAAATGGGATGACTGTGTGGGAGGCGAGGAGAAGCCAGAGCCGGCGCTGAGCGGTCGGAAGAGTCGAACCAAAGCCAGAGCTGGCGAGTCCTCGCCAGCTCTGCTGCTGCGGATTCGGTGTGATAGAAGTTGGTAGGCGAGAACTTCGAACGCAAGATAAAGTGCGATTGGTGTTGGCTGGTCTGCGATGTTGATGAATGCATGTTTTTAAGAAGAGTAGGTAGATGAGTTCTAAGCCCTGAACAAACAAGCTGCTCAGTGATCGCGTTTTCAAGACGTGGTTCAGATCAAATTCGCTTATTTCCGACCGCTCCGTCCGACAACTGTGGTTTCAGGAATATCGGATCCAGTCGAGTTCAGTCCCCCAAAGCACAATCATCATCATCATCACAATCATCACAATCATCTCTGATACCAATCCACATCAGATTGACATGTATAAGCCCGGGTTTACATGAAATGGGAAATATGGCTTGCGTGGCCTCAGTGA